TGCTTTGATGTGATTGTTTGGTAAGTATTTGAGTAGAAACTGTAAAGTGCAGCTGCAGTAAGATTTAGAGATAACATACAATTTGTTTTGTCCTCTAAATTTATGTTTATACAAATCAATTTTAAAAGTGAACTTCATTAAAAGTTAATTTTCTTAGTTGCGTTACCGAAATGTTAAGTTACATATCTATGCAACATTATTTGCTAACTAAATTCCTTGTATAAAATGTTAAGCAAATTTTGCCCAAAGAGTGAATTGTTGGGTTGAAATATAATATTAAGCGAAACAATTTGGGACGTCGGGCGAAATAATTTGAGGTGAGTGACATAAATTTTCACACTCTACGCTATAAAAGGAATTAGTCTAATCCAAATGAATGTAAACACTTTTGAAAAATCAAAAATAAAAATAAAAATTACTTACTTAAATTTATAGACAATATCATTACTTTGTACATTCAAAATGTCATTCTATCCTATCCCAAATAAATGTATTTAATTTATGTAAAACTCTCTATAATCAAAGTAATGATATCATTTAAGAATTATATTAGAAAATTTAAATAACAAATATTGTTATATGTGTATCCTTAACATTTTTAACACGGAAAGATAAAATGACTAATTTATTATAAAGTTTACTTTCAAAAAGATAATTCGTATAAATAAGAAAGTTCAGTAACCAAAGCAATACAAAAACTATCACTTTTATTAAACCAAATCATATGTTAAACCTAATATTGAAGGAGGGTGCAATAATTGAGGAAAACACTTGGAAAAGTAGGTCGAAGCTTTAAACAGCCTGGCCACAACCATTATCATAGATGGACAGCGTTAGATTTCAAGTTGCTGTTATATATTAGTCTCTATATTGACGAATCTCGAATCCATCAATGATGAATCTTGGAAGCATTTGATTGTTTTTTTTTATAAGCAAAAAGCATTTGATTGTTGTTAAAAAAAACATTGGAAAAATCTTTGAATTACGTACATAATGAATATGTTAATCTTTTTTTTTAAGAAGATTATACGTATCATTTATTTTCGTTTATAACCTCTTATAATAATATTTTAACAGATTTTCGCCAATCAACAATTGTAATTTATTGCGAATTAATAAATTTGATTTATGAAAATAATAATTTTTAATTGACGAAAATTAACGGTTAAAATATGATTATAAGAAATTATAAAAAAAAATAAGTTATATGTATAATCTTCCTTTTCTTTTTTTAATCTTTTCTTATTTTTTGCGGCTTGTTTTAGATTTGGTTCATAAAAGTAAATGGGGTTTTAGTTTGTCTTTTAACATGACAAGAAAAAATTTCCTACACACACAACATTTTGTGGGTCTCCACATTTGAAAGCAACAAAAAAAAAATTAAGACACGCAAAATAAATCTCTATAACATTACACAATCACTCTTCCTACAACATAACTCTTATAAAACCAAAGTAAATTATGTCAAATCATTATGTTAGAAGTCAAGAATAATTTATAGAATGAATTTTTTCAATCTTCTTGAGTTCATCATATATTTCAGCTGATATTATGAGATCATGCTTCTCAACAGAAAATTGAAAATGAAATTAATAGTAAATAACACTAATAATAGCATAAGTTGTAAAGTTTATATTATATGCTGGAGATGAGGTTGTTTGTTGTGATCCCGGCCCAAAAAATCCCTTTTTAAATATAAAATAAAAAAAGAATGTAGGGAGAATTTGAATAAAAAAAAATATATAAATAAGATAAAATTTTATTCAAAATGAAAAAGGATCACAAAAAGTGATATGCGCCCGGATCATAAAAAAAAAATCCGCTGAAGATTCCAAAGCATAGAATACTGTAACAATATTATTTACGATAAAACCATTGAACCGGCACCACCTACGACAAACATAGTATAAACCTATAAACCAAACATGGTATTAGGTAAAAAGAAACAAAGAAAAACTGCATCACCTTTTCTTTTCTTTTTTGTGTCTTTCTTCCCTTTTAGGCATTTTAGCCTTATCTCGAAATTTTTTAGGCATTGTAGCCTTACTGTGTTCGGCGCTCCATCATGGTTTTGAATCTCGAAATATTCAAAGTTTTAAAAGATTTTGGTGGCCATGTACGTTATAATGCACGGACACGGGACACAACACGACACTCCGACACGTTAATTCTAAAAAATGCTAAATTTTGATACGTTAGGACACATTTTGATATTAAATAATATTTTTAATATATATAATATAATTTACATTTAGTACATATAACAACTCATATATTAATCAAATATTCAAATTTCATAAGATAAATATTAAAAAAAAAAATAACATGCTCAGTAGACTGATTCTCACAAAATGCTTTGATATACAGATGAACAAACATCTTGGCACTTTTCCAAGTACCTTTTCAATGAACAACATGCTCAGTAGACTGATTCTCAATGGCAACCAATTAGAAGGTCCTTTGCCTAAATGCTTCCTAGATGCACCACAATCTGTAGTTAATCACTAATTAACCACATTACAATAAACAAATCCCGATTAATTAACTTCATTGGAGCAAGAACAAAGCTGAAAGAAATATATTATGCATACACAGAATAAAACCAAAAACCCATTTAATAATCTCAGATTGGCAATACTTCAAATTCACAAAAATCCGAAAATAACACATAAATATCAGAAATTAAAATGTTCGAACCTTACTTGGAAAACTTGCAGCAGCAAAAATTCCTTATAGGTAGAAAACAGAAATTGGTCAAAGAAAAACAAAAGAACCCATTTGAGTTTGTCGATTCCGACGCATCACACTAAAATTGCAATTTCAAGATCTCCTGAGAATATTTTATTGGACAAGGAAGAAGAAGAAGAACGCAAAAGAAGGAAAAGAGTATTGAAAGGGGGGGGGGGGGGGAAATACGGAGCTGATAAAACCAATGTCTCGGAGAACGGAGATCAAGGAACCCATCAATTTGCAGACGACGAAGAAGATGACCGGAGATGTAGACGACGACCGACGACCGACCGACGACCGACGACAAAGAAGAAAACGATCAGCAGCCTCCAGCGTCAAGCCATCAACGAACGAGAAAGAATAGGGCTCCAGACTTTCTAAATTTTATTAAATATTTTTTATTTTTTTTAATTGTAATTTTATTTTATTTTTACAAAAAAATGTCAAAACGTGTTCACGTACGTTGACCGCATGTCGGATTCGGTCAAACTCGTGTGTCCCATTAGTCAACATGTCCTAAAAAATTGACCGCGTATACGCGTGTCCAAACGTGTCCGTGTCGGACACGTAATTTTTCTCAAAAATTGCGAGTCCGTGATTCATAATCTACACGTACTCTGCTTTTGCCTTTAACGTTGAGGTTTAAAGTCGCACTGTCACAAACTTTGTATTTTTTAGTTATAATTAAAACCTCAAATCACATGAAAAGTAGATGTGACCAAAATGTCATTAATTTTAGTTTGTCATTTAATATGATATAAAAAAAATTCTTACACACTCAACATTTTGTGGAGTTCGCATTTTTTAAAGCAAAAAAAAAAAAAATTATTTTTAGAAAAATTAATTTATATTTTAGACACACTGATCAATAGATTTTTTTACAAATTAATATCATATGACATTTTTTGAAGAATTATATAAATTCTTTATTAAATGATACTTTTGTTAAAAATATTTATTTTTATCCTATATAGTATTATAAAGTGTATTACCAAATACTGTATGATATTATTTTATAAAATATATTATCTTATACATTATCATGCTAAACGTTAGATAATATTAAAATTTAATCAGATCTTATATAATCAGGCCTTATACTATCAAGCTTTATCCTATACTATGTACCAAATATGTCCTAAACCATACATAGACGCGTCGTGAAAAATAAAATAAAAATATTATTTCAACTTTAATGTGACGTGTGACGCCGACATATTTGAATATGGGACTAGGATTTAGACGAAACCTAACGCTCTATATTTACATCACCATGGAATGGGACTCGTATGGACATACGACCAACCATGAACATTCTAAAAAGGTTCTTTCATGTGTATTGTCTTCAGTCTTCACAAGCAAATGTGGAATTATTTCTGTCATGTACTAAGGGATAAATTCTTTCACGTTAAAAGGCAAATAAATTGGATTCCATCAATTTTTAAAAAAAATGAAAAAGAAGAGACACATTTTTCAAAGTGAGAGTAATATGAGAAATTAATTTCATACAATATAAGAGTATGATTTCCTTTTATTAAAGTTATTGTTAAAATGAATTAATGTTATTATTTACTTTTGAATAAATAATCTATAGAATAAAAATTCCAAGTGAATTCTTTCCAATTTTTAACTGTCGACCATTATTTGTTTATGGATTTATTATTTTTCATGTTATATGAAATAAATTTATTTTTATAATATAAAAATTGGGGCTTTTTTATCCTTTTGCCCCTCATTAATTATTTAATAACTATTTTGCCCCTTATTGCAAATTATCTACCAATCTGCCCCTCTTTAATCGATTAAATTGAATATTTAATCGATTAAATGGTCAAATGAAGATTTAATCGATTAAATCTTCAACTTAATCGATTAAATCTCCTTCTTTATCAGAAGAACAACCTTATGCATGGGAGATTTAATCGATTAAATAGGAAGATTTAATCGACTAAATCTTCAAGTCAATGATTTTTGCCTATTTTGACCATTTAATCGATTAAATTTTTGGCTTAATCGATTAAAGAGGGGCAAATTGGTAGATAGTTCTGAATAAGGGGCAAAATGATTATTAAATAATTAATGAGGGGCAAAAGAGTGAAAAAGCCTAAAAATATGTGGGATTCATATTTGTTTTCTCTTTTTTCTTTATATGATCCCACATATTTTTATGTCTATGTAGAAGGTAATTTTTATCTCGTATAACATAAGGAACAACAAACCCTTCATTTGTAAATTAAAAAAGGGCTTTATTAATCTTATATTATATGAGACGTCTTCTCTCCTACCATAGACACAATCATGTAGTGGGGTTCGTTCAGTTAAAAAATATAGCAACACGAAAATCAATGGATTTATAAGAAAGAAAACTACTTTTCAACAACATAAAATTAGTTTTTTCCTTAAAAAAATGTATTATATATATATATATATGGTTTTAATTTTCTCATGCAATATTAAAAAAATTTCTTACATTATAGATATATATTGTATAGGACCCTATTTATTAAAAAAAATAATGCACGGAAATCGAATGGTCACTGATAGAAAAAAAAAATTCTCATACAACATGAGAAAATATTTTTCATATATATATATATATATGTGAAGATTATTTTACACTAATATAAATTATATTCTTAACCTTTGATTTACTTGTATTCAATGACTCATATAATAATCATTAATATAAATTATATTCTTAACCGTTGATTTACTTATATTTAATGACTCATATAATAACTAAAAAACTAAAGCTATTGAATTCAAGTGAGATCAACTATCGAGATTAAGAATATAACTTATACTGGTGTAAAAAGATTCGATCCATTTCTCTCTTTATATATATGAGATATAATATTATGCATATATTATATATATATATATATTTATATATATTATCTATTTTTAAATATTATTAGATCATAATTTCAACTAATAATAAAAGAAGAGAGAAAAAATAAAGATCGATTGAGATTGTAATTTAATAATATTAAAATAAATAAATAAAATAAATATGAAAAAATATAAACATAATATGTTACGTCACACCATATATAAAAGGAGAAAATAATAATAAGGAAACACGTGCATGTGCATGAACATTTAGTTTTTTTGTTTATTTTTGGGTTGTGTATAATTACTATAATATAGTCTGTGACTACGAGTTGGCACGCACGCACCTGTGGCCCAAGGAAGAGATACTGAGCTAGCAGTGTGCATTGGCATTGCAGAAGGAAAAGACGCGCTTTGCCCTTTGGATTTTGTACGGAAATCATAAAAACATATAATAGGTGGTGTTTGGTTGGGAGCTTTTCAGCACATATTTATCTTTCTGAAGTATGACTTTTAGAAATAGCATGTTTGTTTCAACTTTTTTCACCAAAAACCCATCTATCCAATTTGTCTGGATTTATGAGAAACATAGATATCCGCACTGTTTAGAAACCCAATTTGAAGGTGAGATTTTTCAGAAAACCGGTTATCTGGCTTTTAATGCACTGTTGATTTCATAAAGTTACCTAATTTTTTCAGTAAAATTCTTCCCCACCAAACAATTTTTTTTTACAATTTTTTACCTATCTCACTTTATCTATCTTTCTAATCATTTCTCTATCTATCTCATTTCCCATCTATCCCAAATATAAATTATATAGTTTTGGTGAACTCATTCAATGTATTGGTATTTGTTTGTTTGAACTTGTGACTGACACAAAGAGAGAGAAAGAGAGATCTTCAGTTTTCACTCTTCTGGGTTCACTTGTAATAGCGAGACAACTTCCTTTCTCTGAGTTTTCTAGATTCCTGACATTGTTTAAGGTGGTGGGTGCTGGATGTTGGGAGAAAAAGCTGTGAACTTTACTCTGATTTGAGAATGTCTGAATCTGCTTGGCACTGTCGTTGAAACAGGACAAAGGAAAATGAGCTTCTGTTCAGAGCTAGTAACGTATCTTATGCAATTCGAGCTTGATTTGAAAATGGGGTTGGTCTAAAAGAGTTCAAAAGAACTTTCTGGAAGGGGAAAAAAAAAGGGCCTTTTTTTTTCTTTGGAGAAAGTAAGAGAAAACAGGTTTAGGAATTTTCTTTTTCCCATCTTTTCTATTGGAAAAAGCTGTGGGGGATTTCTGTTTTTTTCTTCTTCTGGAAGAGTCTTTGATAGTCATACTCCAGTGGAAGATTCATATATGCAGTGAGGAGTTACCAGGTTAATTTGGGTGATATTGATTTGTTTCTTATACTCAAACCAAAGAGTCAATGGTGAAGAGATTGGAAATGCAAGGAGCTTCATTTTCCCTTGTTTTGTTGTATCTTAGTATGTAAATCAGGAATCAGGATCACTAATTGCCAATATTTCCACGATTAGGATTTTATATTTATAGGATTAAGTATTATCCCACTAAGTTATATGTTGATGTACTATGAGTTCTGTTTGTATAATTTTCAATGTTGATCTCTAATGAGACCCATATTTTAAGTCCATTGAAGAAGTTGGCCTGTGATTTTTAAGGCATAGTCATATTTAAGGTTTGGTTCGTGATTTGATACTTAAAAATGGCAGAAAATGTACAAGAAACACGGTCACTGGCCTTGACTCCTACATGGTCGGTTGCCACTGTGTTGACTATCTTCGTTGCTGTCTCTTTGCTTGTGGAGCGCTCCATTCACCGTTTAAGCAATGTAAGTATTGCTAGAATCTTTATTGAACTATGATTGTTGTTTATAGCAAATAAATTGCATGGAAAAAATTGGAAGCTTGTTCTATTTTTAAGGAATTTTGCAAACTTAAGATACTTAGTAGCTGCTATCAGACTTGTTAATGAAATTGAGTGGAGGAAGGGCAGAGGTAAATAAAATGAAGAGAGGCACAAGCCTGAAACCGGATTAGTCGGGTTCATTACGATTCTGAACAAGAAGAAAAGAAAAAAGTATTTTGCATAATAACTATTTAAATGTGGTAAGAAGCTTCATTTATGGGTTCAGTGTATGTCTATAAGAAATTTATGTGGATCTGCATCAATTGGCATGGAAAGAAGCTCTCTCTTAAAATGCAATTACACGTACATGTATAGATTTATATTTTTCGTTTTTTGTTTAAAGCTTGATTTCTCTTAATCGTACATTTGTCTTACTTGTGACCAATTAGTAAATGAGCCGTTCTTTGTGGTCAACTTTTGTGTGAATTCTGATGTGTGATTATGTTTTTTCTGTGACTGCAGTGGCTGCGGAAAACTAATCGAAAACCCTTGCTTGCAGCTTTAGAGAAGATGAAAGAAGGTACCATGCATTAAGTTCTACTGGAAATCCTTTCCAATATAAACAAGAATTCTTTTTAATCTGTTTATCTTTTCTGACTTTTCTACTTTGTGCTAATCATAGTTTATTTGTGTCTCTTCTTATTGATCAATTCTCACTATTTTGCAATTCTATCTTCAGAGTTGATGTTGCTTGGATTTATATCACTCCTATTAACAGCTACCTCCAGCATGATAGCCAATATTTGCATTCCATTGAAGTTCTACAATAGTGCTTTTTCTCCATGCTCTAGATCTGAGATTGATGAAGAAATGGAAGAGAATGACTCCAAAGAACGTAAATTATTGATGGCTTCTGCTTACCCACGCTTACTTAGGAGGATGTTGAATGGAATAAACAGAAACTCCTGCAGAGAGGCATGATGAATATACCTTGTATTAAATTTGATTATCATTAGCTTTTACTGCTCTATATCAATGTAGGTTAATTTTCAATTTGTCATGTTGCTCAGGGTTATGAACCATTTGTTTCGTATGAAGGTCTAGAGCAATTGCATCGATTCATTTTTGTCATGGCGGTAACACATATATCTTACAGTTGCCTAACAATGTTGTTAGCCATTGTGAAGGTGAGCTATTGTTTCCTATATGTGGATAAGCATTTGATTGCCACACATTTATCATTATTGCAAAGAATTAGCCATATATTAATTTCTGTTTCATAACATACTTGCGTTTGCATATTGAACAATATTGGAGTAATGATATAGAGTAGTTTGAATCATTCTTTAAAAAGGTAATTGATAACGTGTATTATATTTCTTCTGTTAATGAAGGACTACCATATATCTTTTTCATTTAACTTATAGATTTTGGAAAGATTTTGATGAACTTCTTTTGACTGACCAAAATTAGGGAAAACTATGGGCCTGACATGGCATGGAAAAGGGTAAATAGATAGGTTATGCATTAAATAATTTCATGCAATATCAAAAAAGAAGTATAGAGAATATTATATTATTCAAAGTATAAGTACAGAGATTATGCCTATGAAAATTAATTAATCTATGAAAAGTATATTTTACTTTTAGTGTCAATGAGTATTCAATGCACTGTTCAATATTTCAAATTAATTTAAATTTACATTTGCATCAAGCAGAGATCTAATAGTATGAAACAATATCAAATTATCAATGATATATTTCCAAGTTTTATTTATTTAGGTGGCTCTTATATTGATGTAGGAGATAAAACATTCAGGGGTTATCATTTGGATTTCTGTTTGACATAATAACACTATTAGTTTGAACCAGATTCACAGTTGGAGAGTGTGGGAGGATGAGGCTCACATGGATCGACACGATTCATTAAGTGGTAAGCTCAATACTTCATTATGTGCCTTTGATCATAAGCTATTTTCTATCTGTATTCTGTTATCCTGTTAGGTCCTTTGAAATGTTATTTTCACTTCTTTAATTGACTATACAAAGCATATAAATCAGGTTTGTTATACTATGATGCATCACTTCTCTCACTTATGTAGTTGATGTATAACTAAAATTCAAAGTTGTGTTTGGTCCTCCTCTGTTGGATATGTTTCACACTTTGCATTTGGTTGACAACATCTACTCCCCCAAAAGCACACAGGGTCCCGCTTCTTGGTGAGTGGGTGGGGGTCCAGGGGTTGCACCCCAGTCTGGGTGGAGGCCTTGTTTTTTTGAGCCTTGGGTTCTCTTTGTAGTTTGACTTGGGCCCATGAATAACTATTGTAGCAAGTTTTGTGAGCATAATATAGTGAAAAACATATTGTTGGATGCAGTCCTACATTGGAGTGAACCAGGGTAAATTTGT